TGGACATCTGGACATGTTGTGACCATTTCACGTCTCTGGGAAACTTTGTATTGCTTTACACAGTGTAGAATGGTTGGAACCTCTGTTGTTTTTCTGGGACAACAGAAATAACAATGAGAAATAACCACTCTAACCCTTCTCCGCTCTCTCCACAACAACAAAAGAAAGTGTTGGCTGCCGTTCCTCTTTAATATTGCTGAGAGTAATTCAGGCAAGGTTTGAAAACCATTTCTTATAGCACAAAGCCCCCTTCAATCTGGTGAAACAAACATTCCACTTATTGTCGCAACTGTCACAAACATTCCAATCCCCCTGCTAACCAGTTAGGGAACATCTGTGTTTTCAAATGACTCACTGTGGCTTCTAATCCTCCATATGGAGGCCTGTGTACTGAAGAGCGCTCCGCAGGATGTTCAAAGGGAAATTGCAGTGCAGCCCAGCTCTACATTGTGACTGCCCAGGGTGAATTGTTTACATACACCACACAGGAATACTCTCATTTTTACCTTTTTATTGAACACGGTCTGGGTTTCCACATATGTACATCTATTTACAAATAATCTCTTATAAATAAAAGTATTTATGGCAAAAAATATGACTTTTTTTTTCAATGCAGTAGTATTCTTTATGCCCTGAAGCAAAAAAATATGCTATATTAAAGCTATGATGAACTGCTCAGAGAGAGACTCTGATTGATCATCTTTTCTTGTGGACAAAGGATTAGCAGTAGTCTTTAAATGCTTCCATCCGCAGTACGGCACTTCTTGCAGCAGTAAAGGAGTTCTGGACGGTTTGTTTTAGGACTATGAAAACGAAACCCGTACAGGATATCAGCTTAATTTGCCATGCTTAGCTATGGAAATTTGGGCTCCAGCCCTGAAGGATTACATGCTGCAGGATAACCTTGAGTAGTCAGGAATGAGAGGCAGCCCATTCCATACTCCTGAGGAAGAAGCATCAAGGTCTACAAAGCTTCACACAACTGGCCTCCACTGAGTATACCCAATACTGTATATACAAGGTTACATTCATTGGAACTGTGTGCTGGTACTCATTGAACAAAATAAGTAAAGTGCAGCGCTAAAAGGACAATTAGAGAAGTTCGATCTCCAAAGTTCGATAGAAAATCGATCTAGACACACACATAAATGTTCATAGGATCAAGCAAATGATAAGTGAACACAGCTGAAATCGGGTCCGATGGTCAGCATCCCCTCTGAAGATGTGCCTTAGTACGAAAGGCCTCAGGAGGAACTGACAGCCTGTGACGCCTCTTTACCACCCAGACCACGTGGAGGTCTGGGTGTTTGCTGTTTTAAAGGGTCAGTAACATACTTTTATATACATTTTTATTTCTGTGTTCTCTGGCTTACTGCCAGCATTATTACTGACCTGGGTTGTTAACCCTTTCTTCATCAATAAATTTTGGATATACTACACTATGGGTACTTTTCCATTTTTTACCCCCCACTGAGGGGTCGGCAGACACAGCTACAAATCACCCAGAGGAGGGATACCTGTACCTGGAAGGGACATGTGCCGTGAGTGATCCATTCCAAACTAAGGAGACCATATTAGCCCAGCAGATCGTTTGAGGACATCTCTCCCTGTGGGATATCGGTACTCGTTTGATTGGATACATAACAAAACGCGCATTCCCTATGTGCGGTCGGTGAGTGTGCATTCTTGCCATTTCCTGGACCCAATTCCAGCTGTGTTCACTTATCATTTGCTTGATCCTATGAACATTTATGTGTGTGTCTAGATCGATTTTCTATCGAACTTTGGAGATCGAACTTCTCTAATTGTCCTTTTAGCGTTGCACTTTACTTATTTTATTTATACCAAAGGTGGTTGTGATCATCTTTAGTGCTATTAGCTGCTCACTTGAATTTCTATTAGTAGCGCTCACTTTTTCTGTATATTACCTGGTACTCATTGAACGTTTGTTCATTTCTGTATATATCCAACATACAACGTGACTGAAGCTGAACAAAACACAGCACTTGTGTCCACCACAGCTCAACTGTGTCAGGACCAGATTTAGACTTCCTGTCCCACTAGGGACACTTACACGTGCCACCCCCCTACTTATCCCTATTAGCTGGCTATCCTGAGTATTACACTGCTAAATGTGGTGCACCAACATGAAAATTCTGGTGCCGAAACCGAAAATTCAGGATGCTGAAACTGAAATGGACAGTTTTTAAACAATATAATTGTATTATATTCAACTTTTTAATTCATATCATGAATTTAAATGAATATAAATGTAAAAAATACAATCCAGTAACGTAAAATAACTTTTGACTTAATTTTAATTTGTGTACAGCGTTGCATGACTGCGCAATTGTCAGTTAAAGTAACGCAGTGCCGTATAGCAAAATATGGCCTGGTCAGGAAGGGCATAAATGTTCTGGAGATCAAGTGGCTATTGGCTAAATTAGAAAGAGATGTACTACCTTGTGGTCAGTAAATAACAATGCTCTCTTTCTAAATAGCATGCATAATCACTCAGTGTTGTATGTATTTTCTTCTTTGTCACTTAACTCTAAACTTCCCACAGGTAAGGTATGCAACATGATGCTGTTGGAAAGATCTCCAGCTGACCTTCTCTTTCTCAACTATATAATATAATGTAGATCCCATCAAGGAGAGACGTAGCCCTCTCTCCCAGAGCTAGCCCCTTAAATGATCCATCACCCGGTGTGTGGCCACTACCACTGGGCATGCGCAACTGCAAAGCCCAGCGGAGTAGCCACTACCACTGGGCATGCGCAACTGCAAAGCCCAGCGGAGTAGCCACTACCACTGGGCATGCGCAACTGCAAAGCCCAGCGGAGTAGCCACTACCACTGGGCATGTGCAACTGCAAAGCCCAGCAGAGTAGCCACTACCACTGGGCATGTGCAACTGCAAAGCCCAGCAGAGTAGCCACTACCACTGGGCATGTGCAACTGCAAAGCCCAGCAGAGTAGCCAATACCACTAGGCATGTGCAACTGCAAAGCCCAGTGGACTAGCCACTACCACTGGGCATGTGCAACTGCAAAGCCCAGTGGACTAGCCACTACCACTGGGCATGTGCAACTGCAAAGCCCAGCGGGGCAGCCACTACCATTGGGCATGTGCAACTTCAAAGCCCAGCGGAGCATCCACTACCACTGGGCATGCGCAACCGCAAAGCCAAGGCATCCTCACTGTGCAGCCATGCCTCCCCCCCTGAAGGAGGAGGGGTTAGCATGACCCATGGCTCCCCAGTGAGAACAGGGCAGGGCAGAACCAGGATGTCACAGCCGCACCTAATCCTTTTATGTAATGCCCAGTAGACAGCTGGTAGTGGCCGAATGCCCATGGGTCGCAACAGAAAAGCTATTATTGGCACCTGTATTGGTTTACTTTTTCCTATCGGCAAAATGCCAAAAGGGCTATTTTGGATGATATGATTTGGCTTCCAGAATTTCGGTGTATCCCTACTACTAAAACTAGTTGTCATAGTCACACAAGTCATGCCACGTCTGGGAATGGAAAGCTGGGAAAAGACATCCTGATCACTGAATTAGAACCTAGAATCAATGATTAGAAGAGTAGTTCAAACTGTTGCCCTACTCTGCTAGCAATTTGGTTGTGTGTACAGACCCAGATTAGGTGATACCTTATTACACAGTACAATATTCCACCACAAAAATGTTCAAACTATAGAGGAACAGCAACAGCGATGACCTGTGCAGTAGCAGGCAAGGTGGTAGTCTGGTACCTTTTATTATATGCAGGAATGTGCTAGTGGCAGCATGAGTGGGTGGTTGTCTGCTGCCCATGGCAGTTTTGCTGCCTTTGCCAATTGCCTATGCAATCCAGCTCTGCTCCTCTATACTGTAATTAACTACAAATAACAGACCTAATAAACAGACTGCTCGTGCCGGCCTAGAGCATTCATTTAAGGGCAGATTTAAATAATGAAAATAATAACCCAGTTGCTAAGGAAAACACAGTTCTTCTTCTGACAAGTTTATTCGGGAGGCATCTGTGGCTGGGGGTGCTACAAGCAGCTACAAAATCACTAGATCACTAAAGTACAGAGTACAGGTAGAGAGGGTTCATGGCAAATGTATGCAAGTGACCTACTCCAAGGGGGAATGGACTTCTGCACAAACACTGATTTTACATGGCAACTGATTGTTCTGCTTTGGAGTTTGAAGCATCAAACAGGAGCTGGTACAAAAAAGGCAGTGCCCTCTAGGGCAGGGTTTCTCAACCAGGGTTCTATGGAACCCAAGGGTTCATCCAGAGGTTGCTAGGGGTTCCTTGAGCAATTTCTGCCTGTCAGATAAATGCCCACTGACACCATTGTTGTTTTTAGCTATGGTTAATGGGGTAATTCTTCCCCATGTCTTTAAGTGTAAGGAGCATTCTTTCCACTGACTATCACATTAATGTATCATGAGTTGTAGATCTAGTAATTTTTAGCAGGGGGTTCCCTGAGACTGGAAATTTATTTCAAGGGTTCTTTGGTGTTAAATGGGTTAAGGAAGGATGCCCTGGGCCCCAACCTGGACCATTCTACCCTCTGATCCCGACGTAAGGAGCATGCTTCCCGCTGACCCCGACGTAAGGGGCATTCTTCCCACTGACCCCGACGTAAGGGGCAATCTTCCCACTGACCCCGACGTAAGGGGCAATCTTCCCACAGACCCCGTCGTAAGGGGCAATCTTCCCACAGACCCCGACGTAAGGGGCAATCTTCCCACTGACCCCGACGTAAGGAGCATTCTTCCGACAGACCCCGATGTAAGGGGCAATCTTCCCACTGACCCCCAATGTAAGGGAATTCTTCCCACTCACCGCCAATGTAAGGGACATTCTTCCCACTGCCCACCAATGTAAGGAGCATTCTTCCCACTGACCATCTATGTAAGGGACATTCTTCCCACTGACCCCCCAATGTAAGGGACATTCTTCCCACTGACCACCAATGTAAGGGGCATTCTTCCCACTGACCGCCAATGTAATGGCATTCTTCCCACTGACCGCCAATGTAAGGGACATTCTTCCCACTGACCGCCAATCTAAGGGACATTCTTCCCACTGACCACCAATGTAAGGGGCATTCTTCCCACTGACCGCCAATGTAATGGCATTCTTCCCACTGACCGCCAATGTAAGGAACATTCTTCCCACTGACCGCCAATGTAAGGGACATTCTTCCCACTGCCCACCAATGTTAGGAGCATTCTTCCCACTGACCATCAATGTAAGGGATATTCTTCCCACTGACCCCCAATGTAAGGGACATTCTTCCCACTGACCGCCAATCTAAGGGACATTCTTCCCACTGATCACCAATGTAAAGGACATTCTTCCCACTGCCCATCAATGTAAGGGACATTCTTCCCACTGCCCACCAATGTAAGGAGCATTCTTCCCACTGACCATCAATGTAAGGGACATTCTTCCCACTGCCCATCCTGCTAATGTACTGTAAGCTGTAGATGTAGTAATCATTAGTAGGGGTTCCTTAGACTGCAAAGTTGTTTCAAGGGTTCTACTACTTTAAAAAATTTGAGAAAGGCTGCTCTAGGGGTTACTAGGAGTTCCTCAGGTAGTGGCAGATTCATCTCCTTTCTACAGTGACCACCAATGTAAGGAGACAATTTTCACCTAAGGCAATGCCTCTACAATAACCGCCAACGTAAAGGGGCTTTCCTACTCACCACCAATGTAAGAGGCACTTATCCATTAGCATAAAGGGACACCTTTGAAGGTCTACATTTAATTTTTGTTCATTATTATGATTTGTTTTAGATTACGATTTCTATTGAGGTACAGAGCAAGGGGTATTGTAAAGTGCCACATTCTGGGCTCCAAATGCTGTAGCTATGCTACATTCCTTATTCCCTTATATTCCATAGCATGCTAATGTGTCATGAGATCTAAGTAAAATAAAAGTAAAAAAAAAAAAAGTTGAGAAAGTCTGCTTTAGACAAGCCGCCTTCCTTTTGCAGAGAATTACTGGTACAGTACCATAAAATCCTGCCACAGAGCAAAATGATTTACAGTATAGGAGCAAAACCTCAAAGCGCTCAACTTTCTGGTGTAGCTGACCCGACTTCACACTAAAGCAAGAAACCTTATGAAAAGTGCGTCTTAAAACTATGGCCACCGCCATTACAACCCTCCGCACCACCCACCTTCACTACTCCAACCATGCTTCATCTCTTGTAGATGGTAATGTACAGTGTAAGATAGGCATTCATCCAGATTTATTCCTCACAATCCTTCATTTTCATCTCTACGCTTTACCTTATGAAAGTTGGTGTTCAACAAGTGAACCCTATTTCCAGACCTACCCTGAAGCTCATACAAGCAGACACATCAAGGCTGTTGGATGATCACTTTGACGATGGTCTTATAGCTAAAACATGGTTTTCTAGAAGGTGTTTCTGCTAAAGATTTACGCTTCTAATGCTGCAACAGTTCTGCACTAGAAGAAAAGCATTTCTAGGCTGGCCAGTTGATTCACGTGAGCTGATATGTATGGTAATACTTAGTAATATTAATGGGGGGGGTAGCACTTTTTTTTTTTTTTTTTTTTAGGGAGGAGGCAGATAAGCCCATGTTACCCAACAGTCAGACAAGCCCATTTTAGCAGTAGTGGCTGGGCTGTGTCCCTCTCTCAGTCATTGTCTTTTGCCTCAGAAGACATGCTCTCAAACAGTATGTCACTTCCTTGCGAGTTATTGCTTAGCTGCGACTTGCTCTTCAGCAGCAGCTGCGCCCTCCTGCAAATGAGTCTCTCTTGTTCCTGCTTTAGCTCGATGTAGGAGCGAGAGAAAGTATGGAAGATTGAGGTTACAGGGAAAGCCATCAGTAAAATTCCACTTAGGATGCTGCTAAGAGCTACTACCTGGCCTGGTATGCTCCTAGGCACCATGTCACCATACCCTACTGTTGTCATGGTGATCACAGCCCACCAATAGCAAGCAGGGATGCTTGTGAACTCCTGTGAGTCTGCCATCTCGTTCTCAATCAAGTAAAGCAGCGGGGCAAAAAGGGCAATGGCTACACATAGGAAGAGGAGCAGCAGGCCAAACTCGCGGGTGCAACGGCGGGCAGTGAGGCCCAGAGTCTGTAGCCCTAGGGAGTGCCTAGCCAGACGCATCACATACAGGATCCTCAAGGCACGAAGTATGCGCAGCACAAGGCCCACTTTATCCAGGTAGATGTTCCCAGTTCCTGATTTCTTCTGCCCCGCCGATGTGTTGTCCACGACCAGCGTGATGTAGTAGGGCAGGATGGCCACAACGTCTATGAGGTTCAGTGGCTGCCGTAAGAATGCAAACTTACTGGGCGCCTGGATGAAGCGCAAGGCGAATTCCAGAGAAAACCAACCCACGCAGACTGACTCCACAATAAAGATGTTGTAGCACATGGTGGAGCATTCCCCCTGGAAAGAAATATATTATTGTGTCAGAAATAGAATTCAAATATTACATTTCAATGTTGATCTGTACGTTGAAGAAAACAGCATGCCACTAAGAATGAGGGTATATGTAAAAGGTATTTATTAAGGAAGGAATATATACACACACACCTGTATATATATATTTTTTGTGTGTGTGTGTGTGTGTGTGTGTGTGTGTGTGTGTGCGTGCGTGCGTGCGTGCGTGCGTGCGTGCGTGTCTTTGAATGTGGCATGGTTGTTGGGGCCAGACGGGTTGGTCTGAGTATTTAAAAAAAACTGCTGATCTAATAGAATTTTCATGCACAACCATCTCTAGGGCTTACAGAGAATGGTCAAAATATGAGAAAATATCAAGTGAGCGGCAGTTGTGTGGAGGAAAATGCCTTTTTGATGTCAGAGAATAAGCAGACTGGTTGCTGCAACATTCACATGGTAGGGTCAGAATTTGGCATAAACAACATGAAAGCATGGACCCATCCTGCCTTGTATCAACAGTTCAGGCTGATGGTGCATTGGTGTGGTGAGGGATATTGTCTTGGCACTAGCAAGGTGGACCTAATAAAGTGGTCGGTGACTGTATGTATGTATCTATCTATATATATATATCTACATATATACATACACACATATATACATATATATATATATATATACACACACACACACACACACACACACACACACACACACATGCATATATAAGATAAGTCCTTAAGTCCTCATCATGAAGCATCAGTTGACCCTGTGAAAGGCAGTCTTGCCCCACTGACTCTGAATAGCACCATGGGTGAAACACATTAAAGGATCAGGTTCAGCATTTATGAATAATGTTCTTGTCACAAAGTGTGAAGAATTAATTAAAAATAAGACCTGTAGCGATAAAGGTCAGGGAACCTAGTCAGCTAGAAATGTGTCATATACTTCCACATCATGTTGTAATATGTGATGGCCTTTGCCAAATGGGTAGTGGCTGCACCTTGGGTGCTACAGCTCGATATTGCAAAACAAACTGTGATCACGGGTACTAGGACTGGCCAGGATTACTTTCCAACATTAGAGCCAATCAGACTGGCAGACCATCAAATATTTATACAATGTTTGTTTATTGGAACAAGAATTATCTCCACAAAGCAAAATCAATAGAAAAAAAAAAAAAGAGCTGTACTTATTAATCTCTATATTTTAATATTTAGCCATTACAGTGGTTAACCCGTAGATATACCCACTGATGTGACAAGCTTTAGGTGATACACAGAGATTAAATAAATCTTCCTACAAATTATACATGTTTATCTACAGCTCTCTCATCTACAATCTTCTAAAACACTAAGGTAAAATGCTATCTGACATCACACACTGAACAGCACAAAGCAGAGAGCTGAGTGTAATCTGAGACCTGAGTGGAGGGAAAGTGCATATCCTCTTTACAGTTTGATAAGAAAAACATACGCAACTGAGGAATACCATCACCTGGTGTGTGCTGGTGAAATGTTGGGTGAGGCATCTTAAAGTGGAAGTAAACCCAATTTTGTATCTTTAACCTACAGGTGAGCCTTTAACCGTTTCACGACCGTCCTAAGGCAGAACTACTGCTACAGGGTGGCAGAGCTGCGCAAAATCACGTATATATACACAACAATATATATACCGCCATTTGTAGACGCTATAAACTTTCACGTAAACCAATTAATTTACACGTATTGGGATTTGTTTTTTAGCAAAGACACGGAGCAGACTACATTTTGTCCTAAATTTATGATGAAATTTGATTAAATTTCTTTACTGGATATGTTTTATAGCAAAAAGTCAAAAATATTGTTTTTCTTTTTCAAAATTGTCAGTTTTTTTTTTGATTTCTAGTGCAAAAAATAAAAATCACAGAGGTGATCAAATACCACCGAAAGAAAGCTATATATGTGGGGAAAAAAAAAGGACAAATTTCATTTATATACAGCGTTGCATGACCGCGCATTTGTCAGATAAAGTAATGCAGCGCTGTGTCGCAAAAAATGGCCTGGTCAGGAAGGGGGTGGAATCCTCAGGAGGGCGAGTGGTATATCAAGCTTACCTGTAGGTACTGTACTGCACTGTTTAGGAGATATTTACGGTAGAAGCACCGGTGATGTCATCGGCGCATGCGCACTGCACCCTCAATGGACTGTGTGCTGTCCATTGAGAAAGCCATGCCGCGTCCGAAACTCCCTCATACATGCACAGGAGTAACAACATCGCAGCTCGGCCAATCAGATGGCTGAAGCTCGCTAACCAGGAACGAAGAACTGGTGAAGATGGAATCCTTGGGGTGCTGTAACAGTGCTCCGCTGGAGGGCTTTGTTTTCAGGTAAATCCATTGCAATGCATACTGGTATATTATGCTCTTAACTTGTAGGGAGAAGATTTTTTTAGATTTTTTTTTTCTTTGCAGTTTACTACCACTTTAAAGTATATGTGAACCCTTACAAGCCATTCAGTTTAACATAGAAATGAATGGAAAAATGTTTGGGTGTGTAGATGTACTGTATAATTTATAAATAAAAACGTTTTTTTCTCTTTTTGTGGTCACATGACCCCGGTTTTCGGTCACATAAGGTGCTTAGTGAGCTGGGGGGTGGAGAATGAAGGGGGCTTTGTCAGCAGGAGGCAGAGAAATAGCAGTACATTGATCTTACCAGTGGCTGTGCAGGTCAGCACAAGTCTGACTAATGGAGGACAGACAGGCTATGCTCCCAGGTAGAATGCAAAAAAAATAAAAACTGACTACACTGGGACGAATATGCTCTCATATCTAGTGTGGTCAGCTTGAAAAAAAGGAAATAAGGGGACTGTCAGGATCACCAGATATTTTACACAAAGGAAGCAATACACAGGGGACAGGATACTCTTTCATACATGGTACAACAGACACATATCAGGAATATGAAATGTTGGGGTAACATACACTTTAAATTGTTTTCTTGTAGTTTTCTCCAGAATGTGCATTTATTTGAATCTAAAATTGTCATGAAGGGCAGAAAGCAAAGTGTATTTAGAATTTCTAGTCGCACTATCGTCTCTGCACAGTTTAGCATGAGCAGGCAGGTAAATGGGAAGGCTCAATGAAAAAGAACAAAGAGGCAAATCCTCAGCCTGGGATGATGACCTGACACTGACGCTGTGCAGTGATGTACACTCCCATTCCAGGTAACTGTACACTGGTATAATATTGGCTTCACGGCTTCGTTATTTCAATTAATTAAAGACAGATGGCTCTAGTTTATGTACAGGCAATAAAATGATGCTTTTTCTTTGTTCTCTGTACAGTGTGATTAATTGTCATTGCCTGGTTGAGCCAGAGAGGAATGGGAACATCCGCTGAGCTAAAGCCATTATCCACAGCTTAGATCTGCCAATAACCCTAATCAAGCGTTGGCATCAGAAATGGTCATGCGATACAGTTTGTGGGGAGTTATTACCCAAGACTGAACAAAATATTTGAAATTAATTTGGTGTGTTTGGAAAATACAGCAGTTTCGAGTAAAGCTGATCTGAGACCAACTCATTCACGCTGGCGGGAGCAGACAAAAAGCCCAGTAATCCACAATAATGAGATCCGGAGTTTCATCCCTACAGTGAACATTATCTACGTGGACTTTTTTTTTTTTTAATCTCTTCTCGCTTGTGTGGATGTCATGCGGGTGTTGTGGTCTACTTCCACAGTATAGTCGTGGCTCAGTTCATTACTGTCAGCAGCTGTAGAAAGTGGCAGGGTTTGATGCAAATGGCTCAAGTGTTTCATGTAACGCGTTATGGAACATGTCAGCCCTATAATTGACTAAGGCGATATAAATCTTTAAAACAACCAGTCAGCAAAATTGGAAAGTAAAATCCTATGGGCTACTGCACTTTGGGAATGAGAGTGGTGGTTAGCGATCATACTTGGTTTCCGTGAGATAACCCAGCAACATTTTTTTTTTTTTTTTTTTTTTGCAGCACGTGCACTCCACCTCCCCTTTTAGCCTAAACAGGAACTATTCAAATAGTACAAGTTCTTGGCACCTGCCCTGTCATTAATGTAGAACAGTTTCTGGATATGGGCAGCACAGTAGATAAATTGTTAGCAATTCCGCCTGGCAGTACTAGGGTTGTCAGTTCAAATCCCAACCACAGCACCACCTGCCTGGAGTTTGCATGTTCTCCGTGCCTGCGTGGGTTTCCTCTGGGTACTCCGGTTTCCTCCCACACTCCAAAGACATGATGGTAGGTGAGTTTATTCCTGTCCAAATTGGCCCTAGTATGTATGCATGTGAGTTAGGGACCTTAGATTGTACACCCCTTGAGGGTTAGGGAATGATGTGACTGTACAATATATATGTAACGTGCTGCGTAAATTGATGGCACTATGTAAGTACCTGAAATAAATAAATATCAGTTAGGTAGAAGCAAGATAGTCAGCAATCTCTAATCTGTAACTCTGTATTTTGGAGGTACAACTAAACGAAAATTTAAAGTTTTTTTGTTTAAAGGTCATTTATACCAAGGAAATGCATATGCTGCACATTTTTGAACTGTTGTTTTAAAAATGCTAAGCAGGCCCGGATCTAGGTGGGTGCTGGAGTGGGCTTTGCCCCTCAGAATTTAATTGTGCCTCCCAAGGTCTCTAAGAGTGCATCCACTAATCCACGCAGCACTCTGATTGGGACAATTAATGCAAGGGGGACTCTGATAGGGGCAACTGATAGAAGGGCAACTCTTGAGTTGGACAGTTGAATTAAGGAGCACTCTGATGGGGACAATTAATGTAAGGAGGCACTCTGATGTGGAAAATTAATGTAAAGGGGACTCTGATGGGGAGAACTGATGAAAGAGTGGCTTTGATGGGGGCAGTTGATGTAAGGGGCCACTCTGACACAGACAGTTGATGCAAGGGACACTCTGATGGAGACACCTGGTGCAAGTAGGCACTCTGATGGGGACATCTGATGTAAAGGGGAACTCTGATGAGTACCCATATGTAAGGGGAGGGGGCCTGATAAGGACACTTGATATAAGGAGGCACAGGATCTGTTTAATCATCCTAATCTAATGACAGCCAAATACATACTAGCATTCCTTGTTTGCTCTTGCACTGACTGCGCTACCTGTAAGATTTTATTTCCAGGTTGTCTCTAGTAGAACTGAGCTGAGTGAACAGGGAATACGGTCTCCCTGCATCTTGGTCAAACTGTTGACATTGTTCCCCCTGGGTTTTTATAATGCACCCCCAGATCAGATAGACTAGATCCGGCCCTGACGCTAAGATATGCATGTACTCCGAGCTACTTGTATCTTTGGGTCCAATTCTTTTATTGGTTTATACAGAAGGTATCTTCTACTTGTAATTTTTTTTTAAATTATACATTTGTCTTGGATTGCCCAGGGTGGTGGCAGGTTTACTTTAGAGACAACCTACAACTTTTAATTTCACTCTCAGGATTGGGTTTTTAGTAATCCAACTGAAAGTCGCTCAAATCTTGGAATGTGAAGCAGGATTACGTGAAATTTCCGTCCAGCAGTGATTTTTAATGAAATTGTTGCATTACAAACAATTAGTTCTTACTTTTTCCTCTTCTTCCCTCAACTCGGGCATGGTGCTTATGGAGAGATTCACTGCTGTGATTGTCACAAATAAGACTGACAAGCAAGCGAAGATTTTCCCTGGAAGTCCAGACTGTGGTTTCTCCACCATGTCCCTGAGATGACGCATGCACATGTTAAACCGGGTCTCATCCTCTGGCTCAGAGACATTTTCATTCTCAATCAGCTCATCCTCCCGGAGGTTGAGCTCGGCAAACTCTTCCATTTTTTGAATATACCGTCTTTTACAGCACCACTCTAAGCTGTTCTCCTCAATCCCCCAATAGAGAAGCTCCTCCTGGAAGGAAAGTGCGCACATCTCACGCAAGAGACGCAGTTTTCCTACACGCAGGAATGTCAAAATAGTCCTGAAGGCTCCAGGATTCCGATCGAAGAAAAACTCATTGCAAGTAACATCATAATCATCACATATGCTTAGGATCTCATCAAAGTTGTTGCACAACTTTAGCTGTCCCAGCCGTGTCAACGGGAACTCCTCCAGAGTGGTCCATGGAAGCAGGTACCTAATGCCACCAACATTTATAATGGCATGGTGCTTGCGGTCGTCCGGATGGATGCTTTTAAAGAGGTCCTCCCCTGGCTGTATGAGCTTAGCCCTTTTGTAAAATATTCCTTTCAAGGATTCAGTCTCGGTGAAGAAGTTGTGGTTGAACGATGTGTCAGAGGCGCAACTCAGCGCACTGTAGTCATAGTCCGAATTTTCCCCACCAAGAAGAGTCATAATGCCGGAAATCACATTCTGTGGAGATTTTTGAGGAGAATTCTGAAAAAGAAAAGAGAAATGCAGTTAATGTAACATTACATATTTATACAGAGCCAACATAGTCAGCAGAGCTTTACAGAAAATAAAGGCATTCACATTAGTCTCGGCCCCAGAGGATTCTAGATTTTACAATCCCTGCCTCAGAAGAGTTAGCATTTTAGACCAGAAGCCAGATATCCTGACAATGTATTTCTGGATTATAAGGAAACCTACATAGATATTGGAAGAACACAAACAGCAAACTCAGTCACTCACACCAAAAAAAAAAAAAACTCCCTACTCTCAGCTCTGTAGTAAAAGTGCTAACCACATCACTACCTTACCTCATTATACATATGTAGCGCTAACCTCGCAGGGGCCAGTGATTTGTGTTCCAGGTTCTCTTCCCACTAGTGTAGTAACAGCCAGGCAAACAGCAACTTTCACTTCTCTACCTCAGAAACAGTCTAGGGGATTGCCTTTTTAAAAGTTTATTGCCGATTAATTTAGATGGGGGATATTTTAGGAATCTGAGGACACTATTCCCTTTGCAGCAGCTTCTTCGCAGTCCTTCAAACAAGAGGACATAAAAGTGGGTAGCAGTGGTACACCATTAGCAATGTCCCAGGCCAGAGAAGCCTTAACTCAGAGCGGCAGTGGTTAACAATAGCAACAGTCACTGAGATCCTTCCTCCCTTAGGTCTGCATTCACAGTATCCCCAGGACTTGGATGTCTCGCTCTGACTTAGGCTGGCAGACTCCTCTGTAGAGCTCTCAGATCAGATTCCCAGTGACACCCCTCTTTTGGTTCCCAAAAGACTTGTTGCAGGACAGCCCCCCCCCCAGCTAAGCACAGCTGGGATCTCTGTGAGACAGACAAAATCTTCATTAGGACTTCCAGGAAGGGCTGGGAGCCCTCCAGCCTGGGAACCTCTCCTCCTGGGAAAAGTACCCTGCTCCCTCGGCTCCAGACTATTTATGCACTCCCACACCACCATCTGGGCATACTTCCCCAGGGATTGGCTGCAGGCTGCTTATTGGACTCTCTCACCCACTATGTTCTGGAAATCTTCAGAAAACTGGGGGAACCAATCAAACTTGCAGCCTGCAGGGCTCAGAGCAGCCTAAAGTAATAACATGCTGCTCTGCTGATTACAGGAGAGCCACAAAACTAAATTTGCCTAACTGGGAGGGTGCTACACATACACAGTATCCATTGCTAGAGAGGTAAAGTAAAACTACTAAGAAGAAGAGAATTTGCATTTCTCTTCTGCCAAAGAAAAACATCCTCTGTTTTTAGTGTTTATTTTGGTGTGCTCTGCTTGTACATATGCAGTGCAGTGACCCCAACTCCCAGTACCTGTAAGATACCAAGAATAGAGCCAGGTGTAGAAAAGGTGCAACTCTATCAAGATATATCATTAGGGCTACCCAAGAAGCAGTGGAGAAGATAGAGGTAGTGGCAATGGAGATCATCAGTACAGGAGGAAGGAAAACACGAATGCAAGACTGCCATAAAGTGCAAGTATTCATAGCATGATGGAAAGAGCTGCCATCGTTAATGTCCCTCATAGTTAGAGGCCAGCTTGTGAGTCAACATAGAAATAGAATTTTTGTTTTTAATATTTGGCCCCCTTTAGGAATTAGAACTAGCTGCAACTCAAACAAATGTATTCTTATGTATCCTCTGACTCCAGCTTGAGAAGTTTCTTGCTATCAATGACATCGAAGAAAGCAGCACAAACTCTGCAGCGCCAGGCCTGTGACGAGGATACTGACTGTTTATTGACCAAAACAGTGACGCAAAAGAGATGGAGATAAACTGCAAGTCATAAAAAGAAGTTATTGCTGAACAGGAGATGTGAAAGCCTTATTAATAAAGCACTCTCATTATACAGATACAAGGAAATACTCAGAGTGAGCACATAGTATTACAGAACACTTTACTGTCCAGATGAATCTGTTTATTATACCTATAAGTGAGCCAAGAAATTTTGGGCGATAGCCACCAAACCCAAAGACTTTATGGGTAGGCCGCATACACCAGCAGAGGAACATACTGCTTGTAATAAAGTACAGACTACACTCTTTATCAGATAGTTACCTACATCATGGATCCGAATCCCCAATGGGTCCCCAGAGTTTATTTTTTTACTTTGAGGGAGCGAGGGCCTTAAATTGCTAGATATGCAATAAACTGTACAGGGAGCCATACCAGCTTGGCAATCCAATGTAGTATCTTAATTTGGCTTATATACAGCCTATTATTATTTAGAGCTGAACTCCAGGGAGATAAAAAAGACACAAATTAATACAGCTCTGCAATCATGGCAGCATGACTAAATGGTGAGAACTTCCCTGACAGTACTAGTCGTTGCTTCAAATCCCAACCATGGCACCACCTGCCTGGAGTTTGCATGTTCTCCCTGTGCCTGCGTGGGTTTCCTCTGGGTACTCCGGTTTCCTCCCACACTCCAAAGACATGCTGGTAGGTGAGTTTATTCCTGTCCAAATTGGCTCCTGTCTAAATTGTCTCTAGTATGTGTATGTATGAATGTGGGTTAGGGACCTTAGATTGTACGCCCCTTGAGGGTTAGGGACTTATGTGAATGTACAATATATGTATGTAAAGCACGGCGTAAATTAACGGCTCTATATAAGTACCTGAAATAAATAAATAATACTGCAATAAAATTTAATTTTTAAATGAAAGCATTGCAGGTACCTAATCGTACCAGGTGTCAGCCTTGTGCAGTTCATATACAACAGAGCTCAGACTGGAAAAGGGAGGAGAAGCATAAGGAGCTATCGACTGTGCTGAATTTCTCAGGTGACCACAACATGCAGATCAGAATAAAAAAGCAAGGAATCAAAAAATGAGCCCACCCCTTCACCGTCCAATGACTGGGGAAGAGACTAGACCTAATTGCAGTAGAGAAGATTAGGTCTTCAGGTCTGGGCTGTGGGGCAGCCTAGATAGACAGAAATATAAATTCATTTGCATGCAGTACAACTCCTATAACTGTATTTTATCTGTGGGCAGTTTGGAAGTTCTGTTGTACTTTTTGCAAATATTCAAATAGTGACAGAAAGTTATACATATAAAAGGCATAGACAGACAGAATATATATATATATATACAGTTGCAAGAAAAAGTATGTGAACCCCTTGGGATTACGTGGAGTTTTGCATGAATTGGGCATAAAATGTGCTCTGAATGTCATCTAAGTTACAACAATAGAAGAACACAGTCTGCTGAACATAATACTACACAAACATTAGATGTTGCCATGGTTTAATTGCACATAACATGTAAACATTCACAGTGCAGGGAGGAAAAAGTATGTGAGGACCTAGCTTAATGACTTCTTCTCCCAGAGCTAATTGGAGCCAGGAGTGATCCAACCTAGACTCCAATCAGTGTGATGATATTGGATGTGTTGCTGATAGCTGTCCTGCCCTTAAAAAACACACACCTGTTTTGGGTTTACTGGTTTCAAGAAGCACTGTCTGATGTGAACCATGCCTCGCAGAAAAGAGCTCTCAGAAGACCTACGATCAAGAATTGTTGACTTGCATGAAGCTGGAAAGGGTTACAAAAGTATCTCCAAAAGCCTTGATGTTCATGTGTCCACAGTAAGACAGACTGTCTACAAATGGAGAAAGTTTAGCACTGTTGCTACTCTCCCTAGGCGGGGTCATCCTGTAAAAATGACTGCAAGAGCACAGCGCAGAATGCTGCATGAGGTAAAGAAGAATCCCAGAGTGTCAGCTAAAGACCTACAGAAATCTCTGGCACATGCTAACATTTTTGTTGACACATCTACAATAAGGAAAACATTAAACAAGAATGGAGTACATGGGAGGACACCACGGAGGAAGCCATTGCTGTCCAAAAAGAATATTGCAGCACGTTTGAAGTTTGCAAAAGAGCACCTGGATGTTCCACAGCACTACTGGCAAAATATACTGTGGACAGATGAAACCAAGTTTGAGTTGTTTGGGAAGAACACACAACACTATGTGTGGAGAAAAAAAGGCACAGCACACCAACATCAAAACCTCATCCCCACTGTAAAACATGGCGGAGGGAGCATCATGGTTTGGGGCTGCTTTGCTGCCTCAGGGCCTGGACGGATTGTTGTCATTGATGGGAAAATGAATTCCAGAGTTTATCAAGACATTTTGAAGGAAAACGTACGACCATCTGTCCGCCAACTGAAGCTCCGCAGAGGATGGGTGATGCAACAGGACAATGACCCAAAGCATACAAGTAATTCAACAAAACAATGGCTGCAACAGCACAGAATACGCCTTCTGGAGTGGCCCAGTCAGAGTCCTGACCTCAACCTGATTGAAATGCTGTGGCATGACCTTAAGAGAGCGATTCACACCAGACATCCCAAGATTATTGCTACACTGAAACAGTTTTGTGAAGAGGAGTGGTCCAAAATTACTCTAGATCGTTGTGCAGGTCCGATCTGCAACTACAGGAAACGTTTGGTTGAGGTTATTGCTGCCAAAGGAGGGTCAACCAGTTATTAAGTCCAAAGGTTCACATACTTTTTCCTCCCTGCACTGTGAATGTTTACATGTTATGTGCAATTAAACCATGGCAACATCTAATGTTTGTGTAGTATTATGTTCAGCAGACTGTGTTCTTCTATTGTTGTGACTTAGATGACGTTCAGAGCACATTTTATGCCCAATTCATGCAAAACTCCACGTAATCCCAAGGGGTTCACATACTTTTTCTTGCAACTGTATATATATATATATATATATATATTTGTTATTCTGAAGCAAAGCAGACACTTTCTCTTTAGATATCATCAACTTTCCCTAGTGCATCCTTTTAGGTTCATTGCTTTTATGTTAGATAAGTGTTCTTATAATACCATGTTTGACTGATCGGCTGGGGGTATTGCAGACTGTGAGATAATGTCCAGTATGTACTCTGTGCCCTGAATTGCATGCCA